TCAAGGGGTGTGTTGAACATGGTGTTTTGAATTGCGTGATTCACATTCCCAGGCACTCCTCACCCAGGTGACTATTGTGTCGACTTCTGTGATATAACACAGTGAACGTAAAAGCTTTCAAAGCTAGAAGGCTACTTTGATTGGTTTTGGATTTCAAACTGTGAAGCCCTTTCGTAGTATGGAAAGTGGGTGGCCAAGAACCATGGAGGTGTGATTGCAGGCCAAGTGCAATGGCGCCAGCAAGCCACATCACAGAGTTCTAGGACTAGCCTTGTAGGACAGTAAGGTATAGTGGTCAAGAGCTCCCTGCTTGGGTACCAAACCTGGTTCCAACAAGTGTGAGCCATGGAACTCTGGGTAGTTACTATACCTCTCAAAACCTCATTATTTCTGTGGTCACTAATGAGAGCCAACCCTTGTTGGAGAAGGCACTGCCATGGCTCACGAATGCCTGGAAAGCAGCTCTGGTGCCATGCTGATCAAACTCTCTAGAAATCCATCCTCTGGAACTTTCGGGAATCTCCCTCTTTAGGGTGCCATGCCATGGAAATGCAGCTCCCCAGGGAGCTGCCTCCCCAGAGGTCCTCGGCTACAGTTGCCAACCCACAAGAACCAGAGAAAATCCTTTTCTTCTGCTGTGTCTCTCCAGCACCTTCTGTGCACAAAGCCTAACATCATTCTACCTGGGAAGGGAAAAATATATAAAGGGCCCAGATTAACTTTTGCAGATGAGGCAAAAAGGAAGAATCTGGAGTGATCAATCCAATAACTAGCACATGTGTGATTCTGTATTATCTTTCGGGGCTGAGAATACTGATCCTTTCAGGCTGGTAGTGTCCAAGTAACAGCCAGCCAGGCCTGTTCTGGGTCTGCGAGCTGCTGTTGGTCCTTTGTAGAGCAGTAATTCTGAAAGTGTGGTCCCTGGGTCAGCACCATTGGCATAACACTGGAACTTGTTGGAAATGCAAATTCTAAGGGGTGCCTGGGTGGCTCAGTCAGTTAAGCAGTTAAGTGCCTACAGCTCGGGTCATGATCCCAGGACCCTAGGATCGAGAGCCTCACACTGGGCTTCTTGTTCACTGGGGAGCCTGCTTCTCCCTCTCCTTCTGGCACTCCCCCTGGCTTGTGGTCTCTCACTTTCTCTCTCTGTCAAATAAATAAATATAATCTTGAAAAAAAACCCGCAAATTCTACTACCTTATCCCGGGCTTACTGAGTCAGAAACTCAGTAATGTATTGAACAGGGCATTGGGGACCTGCTTCTCTGTTTTAACAAGCTGTCCAAGTGATTTTGGTACATGCTAAGGTTTGAAAACCACTGGTATAACAATAAGTTCCGGGATCTTGTTGTGCAGGTTTGGAGGGAACAGTCAATACAGATTTCTTTGGCCAAGCTTTAGTCTCAGTTTTTAACCTTGAAGAATGTGACCTAACTTCTCTGGGATCTGAAAGCTTGCAGGGAGCCCATTATTCTATCTCCACATTTGCGTTGACAATGTGTTTCTGGACTTGTGGATATGCACATATCAGATATGCTCGCTTTGGTAAGAAAGTCTGTTTCTGATGTTCTCTTAACATTTCTTTGATGTTCTCAAGGTCATACTCCCTTGATTAGAGCCCTGAGCCAGCTACTGCCATTTCCATCTATTTCTGCGTGTTTGCAAAAAAGGAGCATGATGCCTGTTTTACTTTTTCCATATCCTTGCTCTTCCCTAACTCTTCACCACAGATGGACGGTTGGAGGAGCAGCTAGAGCCTCAAGCCGAGGGTCAGCCCAGCCAGAGAGCAGCACGGAGCACACATTAGCTTCCCCCTGCTCGTGAGCAGGCTTGCCTCCTTGACCAGGCTCCAACAGCCCAGAGCAGAAAGTTTCATGTTTCCCTGACTCAGCCCTTGTCTTCCCAGGCTCCTCAATTTGCAGTCTTCAAAGGAGAGAGAACAGATGATGTAGTCTGGCAGACGACTTTTCTGCCCTCCTTTGCTTTGAAATTAAAATATGTGCTTGTGTGTGTGCGTGTGCGTGCGCACGTGTTTGAGCGGTGTGGGGATGGCAGCCTGGCCCCGGTCCCGCCACTAACTAGCTGCGTGGGGCTGGGCAGGTCACCAGCTCCGGTTTTAACTTCCATCCTGAAATACAGAAGGTTGAACCAGCTGTTACTGCTCCAACATTTTATGATTCTGTGTACTGCCACAAGCATGGCCTTAAAAGGTTAACTTGGTTTGAATCTTACCCTGTGATTGTCTTTGTGATTCCCTCCTCTGTGTGATATTAAGTATGATGAAGACTTCCTACAGCATAGTCACCTAAAAGGACTGAGGCTACTTACACACAGAGAGTGGAGATGTCAGCCAGGATTGCTCCTTTCAATATATAAGGAGCTTGTGCTTTTTGAAATAGATACAATGTCTCATCAATTGTGTGGGTAAGAGGAGCTGCAGTGTGAAAATACTCAGCCAGAAATCAGAAAGGAGGCAGTCTTCATTTTGAATTCCTGATTTATTTCCCACCGAGAGTAGTAAGCATAAAGATACTTATTGCCTCTCAAAATGATTCGACTATTTCTATTTTTAATATCCTTTAAGCTTTTTCATCTCCACTTCAAGGTAAAGAGTCTTTCTCTGACCTAGTTTTGCATGCTGAAATGAGGAGAAAAGTCAAGTGTAATGATCCTCAATCAGCAGGGACATCCTTCTTGGGGGTGGGGAGGGGTGCGGGGAGAGAGGATATTTCAGAAAATTCTTGGAAATGATGTTTAAGGAATTATGTCTAGACTCTTAGTCCTTTTTTTGGTTGTTGTTTAAGATTTTTTTTTTTTTAATCTACTTATTTGTCAGAGAGAGAGAGAGAGAGCCCAAGCAGGGGAAGCAGCAGGCAGAGGGAGAAGCAGGCTCCCTGCTGAGCAAGGAGCCCAATACGGGACTCAATCCCGGGACTCTGGGATCATAACCTGAGCAGAAGGCAGACATTCAATGAACTGAGCCACCCAGGCATCCCTAGACTTTCATATTTAAAAAAATTAAAATTAAAATTAAAAAATTAAAAAAAATTCCTACTGTTTTGAGAACGGTAATTTGGAATTTGGAATTAGAGCAATCCAATCTTGATGAAATCATGGCCAGGGAGGGTAGGCAGAGAAAAGGTTGTGGTAGGCACTTTGGGTTGCTCATCTGTTCCCTCCTCCTTCCTTGCTAAAAGAGGCTTGATTTTGTTCCCGTGGCAACATCCCCAGACAATGAATCATAATCAGTTCAAATCTGTCATGACAGCCTCCGTCTCGCCTCCCTTGCAGTGAGAAGTGGCCATGTGAGCCAATCCTGGCTCCAGAGACATCTGAAGGAGTCTGCTGGGGACACTGTTGGGGGATGTTGGAAGACATGGGTCTATGTTTACTCCCATCTCCCCATCTTTCTGCTTTGATAGCTGACAATATATTGGGAACTTTCAATGCCTTCCTGTGACCTCCTAGTGATAGGGCTGCAAGCCAAGGATGGAAAAGCTTGCCTTTTCTCTGAATTTTTGAGTTACCGCAAAAGCAAAGGTGCCGGATAAAATACAGGACACCCAATTAAATTTGAATTTCAGAGAAACAATAGTCTTACATATGTAGTATTTGGGACTTACTTATACTGCAATTATTTATAAATAACTATAGTTTATCTAAAATTCAAATTTAACTGTGTGTCCTCTACTTGTGTTTTTGGGGGTTCCCCCCCTAAACCTGACAACTCTATGTGCAAACTCTGGACTGCCTGCCTTGAACTTTCTTCTTATGTAAAAAAAAAAAAAAAAAAAAAAATCCCTATGAGTTTAAGCTACTACTACTCAAATAACATATTGGATGCCTGTGAATTCATTCTTGGTATAATAGGAATTTACTTTTGTACCCAGTACTTCTTTGGGTGCTTCTCACGTGCTAGCTAGACACTGTGCTGGCTCGCGGAGATGTGTCTGTGACTCAGTCACAGAGGCAAGACTCGCCTTTACGGAGCTTCTGTGTAGCTGGAAAGACTGTTGATAAATGAGCGATTCTGGAAGTGGTAATGTAATTCCAGGTGTGATGAGTGCTTTGAAGGACAAGGAGGGGGCTTTGCCAGCATCTGCAGAGGGAAGTTCTCCTTGAAGCAGGACATCAGGGCACTCTGAAGGAGGGGTGGAGGGGGGGCAGGCTGATTGGAGGGGAGGGTTGTGGAAGTTTGCTCTGAGCCCCAGGAACAGCATGTGTGCCCACCACGAGGCAGGAAGGATTCTGAAAAGTTTGAGGAGTGGAGGTCACAGTACTGAACAACAATGGGTTGAGTGATGGGCAACGAGAATACAGAGGCACAGAGAAGCTAGTTCAGGCAGTGACTTGGAGGCCATACTAAGGATTTTGAACTTGATCATCACTCAACACTACACCCATACTAAGTACTGTTGATATCCCCACCTTACCAAGAGGAAATAGAGACTTTCCATAGTTCGCAATAAAGACTTTCCATAATTTGATCAGAGTAATACAGCTGTTAAGGGGAAGAAGTGCCACTTGGGTTCAGGGTTTTTTTTTTTGTTGTTGTTGTTTGCTTGTTGTCTAGTGTGTATGATCAAAACACCCTCCTTAATTACCACTGAGTACAAGCTAGTTAGAAATACAGAAATAACGAGAGCTGATCAAGTGAGTTTGTAAAGATCAATTAACGTTAATGTAACAATATATTTTTATTTGTAAAGATTGAGAGGATTGGGAGCAATCTCTTAAAAAATAAGAGGTTGATCAGTACAGTAGATATTTAAATTCCAGCATTGAAAGAGCCCCCCCCCATTATACAATTCAGATCTTCTGTCTGTTCCTTTCAGTGAAAGGTACTACATATTTAAGTAACCATAACTGGTTTCTGTGACTTTAGACCATTGGTTTGACAGAAACAAAATAAAACAAACAAAAAAAACCCCCACTCCCTACTATAACAAAGTATCAAAACAAGTGACACAATGATCAAATGGTTTTATATACACATAAGAAACAGTAACAAAACACGCACAAGAAAGACACTCTAGATAAACTGTTGATCTATTCAATGTGACTGCTACTCCCACTAAAGCCTTTATTTGTAGGAAATAGGCATTGATATTAGATGGTAAAGAATATTTAAAATGAATTTAAAAATAGAAAAATATCAGTGTGGACTGAATCTAAGGTAAATGCTTTGTGATACTTGATAGGTGTGTATACACACACACACACACATACACACACAGCCACATTCAAGCACAAGAGATTACATAAATACTGGATTGTGATGAATCTTATTTTGTACTCTGGGTCCCATTCAGAAAAGTTTGACAATCATTGGTCCGGACGAACTGACTTGTTGTGAGCTATGCTATCTCTTCGTATTTCTTGAAGTAAGAACAACTCATGAAGGTAAATTCCTGTCTGGTGGTGTGTGGATAACCATTTACTGTTCCACATGTCGGAGAAACCACGTGTGATAACACAAACAAACGAACCAGCAGCTGTTATCAGACCAAAGCACTTATTGAATCTTGGTTAAGGTTCTCAGATATACTCCTTTGAGTGTCCTAATTCATCCCAGGAAGGATTCCACGTACTCCGTCTTTATGTTGTTACTTGCAAGTCTTGGAAACAAACACAAGTAGAAAGAAATTAATAGAGAATTCCAATTCTCATGGTATTAAATCTTCACATTATCAACAGTGAATCTTAATCTACTGTTAAGATGACAGGGATTCTGGAGCTAGAAATGCTGCTTTTCCATCAAGAACTAAATAAAGGCTAAAAGAACTCATTCTTTGAATCCTTAGACTAAATTTAGGCCTATCTTAAGGTATCAGATATCTAACATCGTTTGCAATTGGTGTAATACTTGCTGGCTTCAAGGAATGAAATAGTTTGAAAATGAGAAGACTATCACAAAGTGTGGCTGGTTGTAGTAGAATTATTGTTTTATTTTATTTTATTTATTTTATTTTATTTATTTTATTTATTTTTAAATATTTTATTTATTTATTTGACAGAGATAGATCACAAGTAGGCAGAGAGGCAGGCAGAGAGAGAGGAGGAAGCAGGCTCCCTGCTGAGCAGAGAGCCCCATGCCGGGGCTCGATCCCAGGACTCCGAGATCATGACCTGAGCCGAAGGCAGCGGCTTAATCCACTGAGCCACCCAGGTGCCCTAGAATTATTATTTTAGAGCATTTTCCTTGATCTGGGGAAAGAGCATGGGTAACTTTACTCTTTTTTCCTTAAACCAAGGAAGTCTAGTTGAACATTTGGTGACTTTGGTTTGAAACTCAACGATAAACCTAATGACTTCATATCATAGAGTTAGTGTTGGAGAATCAAAGTTTTTTAGTGTAGTATTTAATTTCTGAAGTATATACATATAGATATGATTATACTCTTTGATCGTGACTTCTGAAAAAAATTTTTTAAAAGATTTTTATTTATTTATTTGACAGAGATCACAAGCAGGCAGAGAGGCAGGCAGAGAGAGAGAGGAGGAAGCAGGCTCCCTGCTGAGCAGAGAGCCCGATGCGGGCTCGATCCCAGGACCCTGAGATCATGACCTGAGCCGAAGGCAGAGGCTTTAACCCACTGAGCCACCCAGGCGCCCCACTTCTGAAAATTTTTAATGTAATTTCAGGAGAAGAAAACAAGTGATATGTGTAAATATTTTTTATAGCATGTTACTTGCCAATGTGAAAAACTTGTAAAGGTACTAAACACTCAGCAGCTGTGAAATGGGTCATTAATCCTATGATAATTCTGGCTATTATATCAGATAATTATACTATTACTTTTAATTGGACATTATATTTTAAATACAAGGTAGAAAAAATGCTGAAAGAAAAATAAACACCTTTTATTAAGTTTTATTTTGCAATTTCTTATTCCTTTGATTTGAAATGAGACATGTGACCTCTTTCTTCTGCACTGAGATGTCAATGCCAAGTCTTGTAACTCATTCTTAATGAGCAAAACAGAACTCGGCCTTGACTCCTTTAATTGGAAGAGCTGTTTAGTTTTACTCAGTTTCATTATATAATAAGCTCTATAAAGCTCCTTTAAGTATTAAATACTAGTGTAAAAACATTGCAAAAAAGAAATGCGTATGGCGATTAACCATGTAATCACGTAAGAGGCTGATGTGAACAGCAAAAATGCTGATTGTGTACTCGCTAAGACGTTAACATTGCTGATTGGGGGGGGATTCAAGTGATTATTTTCTTTTTAATATTAAAAGTTTTTCATAATGAATATGCTTTTCTAATGAGATGGTAATAGACATTTTTCCCCCTTTTCCTCTCTACATGTGGGAGCCAGTCTCCCATCAAAACTTGCCAGCTTCTATCTCGCATACGTGGCAGAGTCAGGCTCCCTTGAAAACGTAACCAGCATGCCAGAAAGCAAGCCATCACCATGAAAATAAACATTCTCCAAAGGGGTCTAAAAGTTCTGGTAGCTAGACGGCCTTGTCCTTGTGAGGAGAGGCAATGATTAAATCTTGCCCCAAACACTGAATTTACGTAAGGATTAAATTAAACATATAACTTTATGTTCTTACTCCCTTGGGTCATTCGTTTCATTAATCATTAAATTCGATCTCTGTTTCCCTCCCATTATTGTGACTTGATCACAGTTACGATTTTATGTGCTTAGAATGGGAAGTTGGTGCAGCAGGTTTAGGAGAGGTTCTGAGGAGCTCACGGAGTGGTCCGTGGAAGCCTAGGAAAGGCCTCCCTGCTTGCTCAGCCCCCGAGTGTGGGTTAAACCAGGCCATGCTGAGGAGCCCTCCAGGCAGCTCTGCCAAGGCACCGCGGTTGTGAGAACTGGGAAAGGTGGTGGGTTACTATAAATAACACTGTAACTTATTTACGCAACTGGAAAAAAAAAAAGCTGATATATATCTTAAGAGGTAAGAAAAGCAGATCTGCTTTGGATTTTGCGTCTCTTCTAATATTTGTTATGATTTTTTTTCCTACTTAACTTTATCTGATATCTAGAACCTAAGCAAGAGAGACTGAAAAGGCCCAGGTGAACACTTCTCAGCAGCCTCTAGGACGTGAGCAAGGAGACGGCTGCCGCCCGCACATGGACATGTACTCCCTCATGGGGTTTCAGTGTCTGTCGAAACAGACCTGCTGTTCTTGGGTCTTGGAACAGATGGGAAAGACCAGCATTTGATCTGGAACGAGCTGCGGTCTGAGCTACTTGGTGAAGGCTCCTTTCATCTTTTTCAGTAGATGGGCCGCAAGGCCAAACTCCAGAGTATGACTTAGCCACTTAAAAATGGACTTCAGTGGGCACCTGGGTGGCTCAGTGGGTTAAGCCGCTGCCTTCAGCTCAGGTCATGATCTCAGGGTCCTGGGATTGAGCCCCACATCGGGCTCTCTGCTCAGCAGGGAGCCTGCTTCCTTCTCTCTCTCTGCCTGCCTCTCTGTCTACTTGTGATCTCTCTCTGTCAAACAAATAAATAAAATCTTTTAAAAAAAAAAAAAAAGGACTTCAGTGCTGGCCATTATAAAGGGATGGAAAGGCATGGGTGTCCAGCTGAAAAACCCTGAAGTATCTCATTAGGGTCAGAAAGGGAGCCAGCCACTCTCAGCAAAGTGGCTCTGGCTCGGAGGCTGGACTCCTCTCTTCACTCTACACTCTATAGCCCCTAACGTCGGCGCCCCGAGCTTCCCTGGGTTTCACTAAAGAAACAGACAACAAGGGTGGGGTGGGGGGGGGACAGGCGTATCAGGAAGGACTCTAAGCTCCACTTACAAGAAACTTTAAAATGGTCCTGAAATTTCTCCAAATGGGAATGGCTACTTGAAGGGCTGATGCTGGAATCAGGAGTGTGTAGGATCAGTGCACGGGCTGGGCTCCGTCCCCTTGTAACATAGGAATTTACTGAGAACAAGGGAAATCTAATTCTTTTTTTTTTTTTAAGATTTTATTTATTTATTTGACACAGAGAGAGATCACAAGTAGGCAGAGAGTCAGGCAGAGAGAGGAGGAAGCAGGCCCCCCGCTGCACAGAGAGCCCGATGCGGGGCTCGATCACCCAGGTCCGAGATCATGACTTGAGCAGAAGGCAAAGGCTTAACTCACTGAGCCACCCAGGTGCCCCAGGAAATCTAATTCTTATTAAGAGATGATTACATCTGGCCTAGGGGAGTTGCTTCTTGGGACCCACACTATCTCCTCTTCAATGAGTGAATGACTACATTTTGCACATGTCAACTGTGAAAACCTTTTTAGTTGCAATAGTTCGAATACAACAGCAGCTGGGGGGTGGGGTGGGCATCTGGGTGGCTCAGTCCTTAAAGTGTCTGTCTGCCTTTGGCTCAGGTCATGATCTCAGGATTGTGGGATCGAGCTTCATCTTGGGCTCCCTGCTCGGTAGTAAGCCTGCTTCCCCCTCCCGCTCCCCCTGCTTGTATTCCCTCTCTCGCTGTCAAATAAATAAATAAACTCTTAAAAAAAAAAAAAAAGACCACAACAAAACAGCAGCTGGGTCTATAGTTCTGCTCTCCCAGCATGCTTTTCCAACCTCCTCCTGGTTTCTACCTCCTGCTGTTTTCCTTCTGCGGAATTTCTCCTGCTAAACAGGAGGCCTTAGGAGAGGCGTTCAAGGACAAGATGAATCCGCGATCCAGTCCTAGCCAATCAGAGTATCCCATCTCCCTGGCCTAAGTGATGAGGTTAGCACAAGCCCTGCGACCCAAGCAGGACCAATCAAAATCTCCCGTTGGGTTAAAATGCAAAACAGCTTTTTACAAAAGTGTTTAAAATAAAGAATCTTAAACAAATGCTAAAGTAGTGAAAATTATATACAAGCTCCTTGGAACCCAACACTCAGCCCTGACATCTATCAGCTCCTGGGAAAGCTAGAGAAAGGATGAACTGTCTTTCTCTACTGGGGATGCTACATCTGGGAGGCTGGTGCTGCCTACAGCCATCCTATCTGTCGGTGGAGAAAGTCTGCCTCCAAGAGAAACCCAAAGAGCAACGTGGAATTGTGGCAGAGCCTTGAAGGCTACATTGAGCTGCTCAGTGCGGCTGAGCCTGAAGCCACAGCTACCCTGTACTTTCTTCCCACTCAAGCCAGATGGAGGAGGGGTTCCGGTACTTGAAAAATGGGTCACCTAAGGGACGCCTGGGTGGCTCAGTTGGTTGGACGACTGCCTTCGGCTCAGGTCATGATCCTGGAGTCCCGGGATTGAGTCCCGCATCGGGCTCCCGGCTCCGCAGGGAGTCTGCTTCTCTCTCTGACCTTCTCCTTGCTCATGCTCTCTCTCACTGTCTCTCTCTCAAATAAATAAATAAAATCTTTAAAAAAAAAAAAAAAATGGGTCACCTAAGATGAAAACCTTAAAGAAACAGTCCATAAATATATATATTTTTAACATCCTGTGTTTATTTTTGAGGTATCTGGGAGAAATAAGTTCATGGGAAATCTTCAAGAGAACTAAAGCAGAAGGGGAGCTCTAGACATATTAAAAGGGGATCATTAGCCTTTTAACTTCACTCTGCCCAAAGGATAATGTCAGTCCCACTGAAATGACAGCCATCTACTAGAAAATTTAAACTATGTAACATAAACATCATTAAGGGCTGTAACATTGGGTGGGCATTTTCACCCTTAAAACAAAAAAACAACAAAAAACACAACCTCCTAAACAAAATAATCAAGGCCTCAAACCCATTCGGAGTCTCTGATTTGAAATTGTCTTCAAAGCAACGAAGGAAAGGAAAGGATACAACCGCTCCTACAGGAGCATTCTGGGAAGCCGCTCTTGGGTGTGCAATGAACGCTTCTTCCTGGCTGTTCCTTCACTGTCCACAACACTTACACTTTTGCTTTGCTAGTTCTTGTTTTAGCTCTTCATACACTTGTGAAAAGAGGTCCTCTTCTGATTTGGTTCCATCTAGGTAAACTGAGAAGGAGAAAGGAGAGCGGTTCAAATGCCAGGGGGCCTCTTAGCCGTGGATTCTCACTCTGCCATCTGACATCCCTTAAGAATACTAACAGGTTCAGGTTCAGGGGCGCCTGGGTGGTTCAGTCGGTTAACCGTCTGACTCTAGATTTCATTCAGCTCAGGTCATGACTGCAAGGTACTGAGACTGAGCCCCTCGTCGGGTTCTGTGCTGGACATGGAACCTGCTTAAGACTCTCTCTCTCCCTCTTGCTCTGCTACTACCCCCTCAAAAAAAGAGAATATTCACAGGTTTAAATAAAGAACACAGGACCTTAGACACTTAAAAAGAAATTAATAGCCATTAAAGACAGAAATAGATTAGAGTCAGGAATAATAGGTAAAGAAAAATTGGTTTAATAGGGGGAAATGCATGTTAACAGGTGTGGAAGTTATTTTTTGAAAAAGAAAGAGTTAAATGGCATTGGGTATGTGGTCCTTTAGCAGCCCTGAGGAATCATTCCAGGGGCTGGTTCTCCAACTGCCTTATGCATCAGGATCCTTGTGGAGCTTTTTTGGGGGGAGCAAAAGGTGATTTTATTAAAGCACGGGGATAGGACCTATGGGCAGAAAGAACCATGCAGGGGTCTGGGCTCTGCCATGTTCTCCAGGCCCAGGAGATATGCATTTTTACCCAAACTGGCACAGGTAATTTTGGAGAAAAAGTGGAAGTTATATAGGTTAAAGGAAAAAAAGAACACTTTAAAAAAAATTTATTTATTTGACAGAGATCACAAGCAGGCAGAGAGGCAGGCAGAGAGAGGAGGAAGCAGGCTCCCTGCTGAGCAGAGAGCCTGATGTGGGGCTCGATCCCAGGACCCTGGGATCATGACCTGAGTCGAAGGCAGAGGCTTTAACCCACTGAGCCACCCAGGTGCCCCGAAAAGAACACTTTAATCAGAAAACTGGTGGTAAGAGATCAGTTCGCTTGTTCAGCAAGGGATGCACAGTTTGGAGGGGCTAGAATGTGGGAGCCAGGGACACTAGAGAGATGAGATTTTAGAGCAAGACTGTCTAGGCCTTAGTCTTTAGGGGCCTTGAAGTCTGACTGTTTGGATTTTATCCCAAAAAGTTGAAAACTCTTTGTAGGTATTTAAGCAAAGTGGGGATATGGTTAGATCTGCATTTTTTTTTTTAAAGATTTTATTTATTTATTTTACAGAGAGAGAGATCACAAGTAGGTAGAGAGAGAGGGAAGCAGGCTCCCCGCTGAGCAGATGCGGGGCTCCATCCCAGGACTCTGAGACTATGACCTGAGCTGAAGGCAGAGGCTTTAACCCACTGAGCCACCCAGGCGCCCAGCATTTTTTTTTTTTTAAGGTTTCATTTTAAGCAATCTCCCCACCAAACATGAGTCTTGAACTCATAACCCTGAGATCAAGACTTGCATGCTCCACTGACTGAGCCAGCCTGGCACCCCCAGATTGGTAACTTAGATGAAGAGGGAGAGAGGGGTACCCTCCAAATCTCTTCTCTCATTCTGTTCTATTAAGCACCTGCATCCACGCTCACATAGCTAGGGGAATCTCACTAACACAATAATTTGTTATTTACCATGTCCTTGTTTAAAACCTCTCTGTGGAGGGCTTCCCATTTCTCCTACGATAATGACCGAAGTCCTTAACTGGCTTATGACCTTGTAGAGTTTAGATCTTCCTTATGTCTCCAGCATCACTCCTTCCTCTTGGTTCTCTACCAAAAATACACCAACCTTCTTTCAGATGCTATTCATTCCTTTCCTATCCCTGACCTTTTTGTGCACTGTTTGGGGTGATTTACTGTCCACCCAACCGACCTCCCTTTGTCCAGTTAAACCCCTCAGAGTGTGGTTTAAGTGACTTCCTCAAGGAAGCCCTCCCTGATTGCTGGGCCTCACGTAGTCCCCCTGGAACTTGGTGTCACAGCACTTAGCATAGCTAGAAAGGACATGCTCATGCAGCTAGTGTCCCTAATGCCTGTTTCCCTGAGAGAATGTTGGCTCATAAGAGTAGTGGCTGGGTTTGTCTTATTTTCCTCAATATCACCAGGGCAGTGCCTTGTGCGTAGAAGGCATTCAGTTACTATCTGTTTCACGAAGGACCCTCTAGAAGCTGACAGGCTTTGACAAGAGCCTTAGAGAGAGAAACAGAAACCAGGACAGTCCACTGTGGAAGGGCCTGGAGTATTCTGGTTTAAAGTGTTCCTTTATAATGTAATCCATGAGAAAAATGCCTCCTAAAAATCCTTTCTCCTGTGCACTTTGAGCAATGACAAGTGAAGGCCTTCTGCGGAGGAAGAAAAGGTACTTACTAATCTCCCACGTGATGTTCTCTATTTCTTGTCTGTGCTTCAGATACATGGGCCACACGTGGCCATCAAAGTACCCTGGGACGTCTGGGGGCTCGTAGACCCTTGTACTATCAAAACACAGAGGAAACTTTATGTGGACAGAAATGCACAATTGATAAAAGTAAAATAATAATGGTCAGGATAATGGGAAAAATCACCGAGACTTAACTCTAAACAGAATTAAGGGTATACATTTTAGATTCAACACTAGTTACAAAGACAACAAAATGGATTTAATTTTCTGACCCAAACGAATTACTTTTGTAATTCACTATCATTCATGATTACCTCCCCTGCCTTCAGTAGAGAATTAAGAGACAAATGTCAGTGTAAATAATGACAGAGAACTTGCTGTGTTGGGTTAAGCTTTCAATTAATTGGTGTTCTTTGTGTCTGCAGCTGAGTTATGGCTCACGAATGGAAAATCATAATCAACATATTTTTTTACTTAAAAACTTTTCATTTTTAATTGAAGTATGGTTGACACACAACATCACTTTAGTTTTGATCGTACAGCATAGAGATTCAACTTCTCTATACGTTAGGCTATGCTCACCGTGAGTGTAGCCACTACCCTGTCACCGCACTGTGTTGTTACAAATACTACTGGCCCTACACCCTATGCTGTGATTTGCACCCCTGTGTGAACTGTCTTCTGAATTAGGATCCACAAAGCTGATTTCAACACTCACCTCCTCCTCCTCTTACACTCTTCATAAGGAATTGTCAGAAAGTAGCTTCTGTTCCACAGAGCGTCAAGGGGCCTAAAATCACAGCATCTTTAGTTCACAAGGTATCCCCCCCATTTATCCTGAGTCAGTATTAGGTTGAGGACGCTTACTTATAATTAAAGAGAAGGAAGCCTTCAATGATTAATATGGGAATTTCCTCGGTGCTTCTGGAGTCTGTTGATACTGGTGAGTGTCTTGGGCTTTCCACCCAGCGGGAAATGGCGGACATCATTTTTTCCATGTTAAGCGCTTCAAGCACTTCAAACAAACATACAAGAATATGAAGTCAATATAACAAAAGGTTTATGATGTGGCTTTCTATGATGAGTATATCCAGGGCTCCAAAAATATATAGAATAACGCTATTTTACTTACCTTTCAAAATATGGAATAAATATTTTAGACAAATTGGTATGTTTGAAACATTTCTAATATGGAACATTTCAAATCTATATATAAAAGTAGAGAGCAGGGTACAATGAATTCCCATGTCCACACTACCAGCTTAGACAATCATAAACTCATGGCCAATATTGCTTTACTTATGATGTCTGCTCCCTCCTGACTATATAAAAGTTCAATATTTTTGGATGACAAAGTATCTGTAAATTAGTTAGAAAGATAAATGACACACTGGGGAAAATATCCACAATGTATTTCACAAAGAGCTAAAAAAAATTTCTCTTAAAAAAAAAAAAAGATTTATTTATTTGAGAGAGAGAACCAGAGAGCACAAGCAAGAGGGGTAGAGGGGAAGAGAGAAAGACTCTGAAGCCGACTCAGCACTGAGCATGGAGCCCAACATGGGCTCCATTCCAAGACTGCGAGATCGTCACCTGAGCCAAAACCAAGAGTCAGGCGCTTAACCAACTGAGCCACTCAGGCACCCCAAGAGCTAATATCTTTAATATATATACGGCTCTTACAAGTAAATAAGAGAAAAATCATTAAAATATTATAAAGGACACAAATATGTCCTTTTTAAACTCTAAAATGTACATAATTTTTGAGCTTACAATTATAGTTCTAGAAAATTATTCCAAAATACCGATTCTCAAAGTGTAGGACCTAGACCAGCAGTGTTACTATCACCTGGGAATTTACCAGAATTACAATTTCTGGGTGCCTGGGTGGCTTAGTTGTTAAGTGTTTGCCCTTCGGCTCAGGACCTGATCCCAGGGTCCTGCAATCAAGCCCCACATTGGGCTCCTTGCTCAGTGGGAAGCCTGCTTCTCCTTCTCCTACTCCCTGTTTGTGTTCCCACTCTTGCTATTCTCAAATAAATAAATAGAATCTTAAAAAAAAAAGAATTATAATTTCTGAGCCTTACTCCAGAACTACTGTATTGAGCCATCTGGACTTAGAGTCTTTTTAGTGGAAAGTTTATAAATTATGGATTAACTTACTCAGTAGACATAAGACTATTAGGATTTTCTCTTTGATCTGGTGTTAGTTTTGTTAAGTTGCATTCTTCTAGGAAATTGTCAATTTCATTAAAGTTTTCTAATTTAGTTGCATGGATTGTTCATAATATACTCTTTCAATGTCTGTTGGATCTGTAGTGGTATTACCTTTTTTGTTCTTGATATCTGTAACTTGTGCCTTCTCTTTTTTTTCTTGGTCAGTCTTGTTTAATCTGTTTGGGGATCAGTCAGATTCTTGAATTTGTAAGTTTATGTCTTATGCCAAGTTTGCAATGTTTTACACACATTTACTTTTTTTTATTTTTATTTTTTAAGATTTTATTTGTCAGAGAGACAGAGAGAGAGAGAGCACAAGCAGAGGGAGCAGCAGGCAGAGGGAGAAGCAGGCTTCCAACTGAGCAAGGAGGCTGATGCAGGACTCCATCCCTGAGCCCTGGGATCGTGACCCAAGCTGAAGGCAGATGCTTAATGGACTGAGCCACCCAGGTGTCCCCATTTACTTTTCTCCTTTCTGAGGGTCCAATGATATAAATGTAACCGCTTTTGTTATTGTCCCATATTTCTCTAACTTTTTTTCAGTCTTTCTCTCTGTTGTTCAGATAGAGTAATTTCTATTGTTCTGTCCTCAAATTTCACAGATTCTTTCCTCTATCACATTTATCCTGCTGTTAAATCCCTCTGGTGAGTTTTAAAATTTCAGTAACTGTATGTTGTCAATTAAAAAATTTCTATTTGGTTCTTTTTACATCTTCTATTTCTTTACTGAGGTTTTCTAACTTTTTACTAGATTCAACAATGTTCACCATCACTCACGGAAGCCTTTTTATGAATGCTGCTTTTATAATCCTTGTCAGATAATTCCAACATCTCTGTTGTCACAGAGTTGGTGTCTGTTGATTGTCTTTCCTCACTCAAGTTGAGAGTTGCCTGGTTCTTGGTATGACAAGTGACTTTCAGTCTCGTCCTAGATAGTTGAGGTATCATGTTGTGAGGCTCTGGATCTCATTTAATCTTCTTTTTTATAGGCAGTTACCCTGCTTAGCTGTAGTACGCATGTCCGCGAGGGCGTGGACGGTCACCCCTCTGCTGAGCCCCACGAACATGGAGGGGGAGGTTGTCTCGGGAGGAGGAAGAGACAGGTGGAATGTTGCTGTGGCTTCACTTGGTGGGGACTGCCAGCAGCTGATGCTCTCTGGGTGAGGAGAGTGGAGAGTCAACTAGCACCACCTCACACTGCCTCATTCTGCCGCTGCTGCTAGACGGGTGTGGAAATTCAGTTCGCCATCTGGCTCTACTGATAGGATGACTGTGGGGTTCCCTGCCTGGCTGGTGCCACGTGGGTCCAGAAGTCTTGCTCCCCACCTGGCCCTGCTGACGCCATGAAAGGAGGATGGTTTTCCTTTTTGTGTTTGGCTACAGTAAGTTGGATATTATCAAGATGATTTTCTGTTTGTTGTGCCACTCTCTTCCTATTTTAGTATATGTGCTGCTGAAGCGAGCACTGCCACTCTCTTCCTGATCCTTTGACTCCAGGGAACAGTCTTCTTGGGGATATTTTTGTCTGTACGTTGATGACATCATGTTCCACACCCCTTCAGCACCCCTTCCTGGATATATGACAGGTGAGAAGAAAACCTAGAGCATCACAGCCACATCATTCCTCAAGTCCCAAAGGCCTAGCCAGTCTGTTTTCTTTTCATCTTTGTGTCTCCCTTTGTTTGCTGTGCTCCATCCAAGGTTTTCAATTATAAGAGGGAGCAAGAGTAAGGAATGGGGCCAATCCATCTTAGTTGGAACCAGAAATATCATTAATTCTAATATATTTTCATTATTGTTTAATTAAAAGTATCTTCTAATTTTCATCGTGATTCATTTTCTAACCCACAGGATATACAGAAGTGCTTTACTTCAGAAGAAACGTGATGACATCTGGAATTTACTTCAAAAAATATAGAAGGAGAGAGTGGCTAAGGGCATCAATGAAATATAAATAGGTCAAGAGTGCATCATTTTAAAAGCTGGATGAGAAATTCATGAGAGCTCATTACACTTTTCTGCCTACTTTTGTGTATGTTTAAATTTTTCCAGAAAAAAGGGGCACCTGGGTGGCTCAGTGGGTTAAGCCTCTGCCTTCGCTCAGGTCATGATCCCAAGAGTCCTGGGATCGAGTCCCACATCAGGCCCTCTGCTCAGCAGGGGGCCTGCTTCCCCCTCCCCCTCTGCTTGCTTCTCTCCATACTTGTGATCTTTCTCTCTCTGTCAAATAAATAAAAATAAAATCTTTTAAAAAAATTAAAAAATAATAAAAAAATAAATAAAATTTTCCAGGAAAAAAAGGGTACTGATTAATTTCCAAACAGGAATTTTCTACTTACTCTTTGGTTACTGATTTTTTTTTTTTTTTAAGATTTATTTATTTATTTATTTGACAGAGAGAGAAAGAGATCACAAGTAGACAGAGAGGCAGGCAGAGAGAGAGAGAGAGAGAGGGAAGCAGGCTCCCTGCTGAGCAGAGAGCCCGATGCGGGACTCGATCCCAGGACCCTGAGATCATGACCTGAGCCCAAGGCAGCAGCTTAACCCACGGAGCCACCCAGGCGCCCCTGGTTACTGATTTCTAATTCAGTTCTCTGTAGTTAGAGGATATTTCTATTTTACTTTAATCTACTGAAATGTACTAGGACTTGCTCCATGCCCTTGCGTATGCCTGCCATTTTAGTTAATGTTCCTGTTTCAAGAAAACAAAAATGTGTATTCTGCTGTAACTGGCCACAGGTTCTATATATGATAATTCAGTTAACTTTGTTAATTGTGTTGTTCAAATCTGGTATACCCTTACAACTTTTGTCTGCTTTTTCCATTAGTTATTGAAGAATTTGTACTAAAAATCTCCCACAATAATTAAAGATTTGTGTATTTCCCCATTTAGTTTCGTCAGTTTTTGCTTAATGTATTGTGAGGTTGTTATTAGGTGTACACGAATTTTAGATCGTTTATCTTCCTGTTGAATTAACCCATTTTTCTCTATTTATCTCTAATAACAGTATCTCTAGTGATACTCTTTGTGTTTACTTTGTCTCATATTAGTAGTTACACTAGATTCTTTCAGTAGGTGTTCATATGGCAGATCTTTTTCTAGCCTTGTCTACTTTTCTTTGTCCTAATATTTAAGTATATCTCTTGTAAGGTACTTATACTTGGGCTTTTCATTCTTTCCTTCTTTTTTTTTTTTTTTTTTAATAAACTTGACAATCTTTGGAGTACTTCATTTAAGTACTAGTTCATTTAACTTAATACAGCTACTGATATATTTGGCTTAAATTTATCATTTAAATCTAATTTTCTACTTTTCTATCATCTTTTGACTTCTTTAAGTTCTCTATTTTTTATTTCTGACTTTTGTCTTTATCAACTAGATTTTAATGATTCCATCTATTTATAAACTTGATAGCTATACATCTTTAAACTATTCTTATGGTGGTTTTCATAAGGTTTCAGCATAACCTTGATTTACTTTAAATTTGTACACTTACCGAAAAATTTCAGATTTTTTCCCAGGATAGATTCCTGGAAGTGGGACACATGACACATGGCATGAGTATTTTAAGGTCTTTGGGATATATGCTTAATCTTCTTCCAGAAGGGTTATGTAAATTAATATTTCCATCTAAGAGAGTTTTTGTTTTACTGAGCCATTGTTAGATAATTAGACAGCTGTGCCATCATTAGATAATCATTGCTTTAAAAATCTGTTTATTAGGTAAGTGAGGAAAGAAAGTAATTTACAACTCTTTGACTACTTCTGAGGTTGACTTTTTATTGTAATATTTATTAATCAAATAAACTTTTCCTTTTATGAATAGCTTATTTATATCCTTGGATATTTTTCAATTGGAATATTAGTGTTTTTTTATCAGCTTATAAGAACTCATTTGAACTACGAATAATTGTCAATTGTTGAAAACAGTTTTTCCTTGTTTAACGCTTACTGTTTAAGAATCGTCCTCACTAGCCGTTAGACATGGGACGAAAAGAAAAGTTTATTCTGGCTGGAGCTCAAGACACAAGAACAGGCAGCGAGTCAAGGATTTTGCTTCTCTTAAAACTATCAAGTGTCTGTAAGAACTGATTACACAACATTTTTCCTTAAAGGTCGTCGAAGTTAAAAATAACGTAGTTTATGGCTTTTTAAGAGAGATGTTTCTGTTGCCAGTTTGCATAAGCACTCAGTGATCATCTTGTTCGTCATAAAACTTGATAAGACTGTTAAATGTAGTTTATTAGCATGATATTTTCTGTAGCAAAATAAGTATCTTCTCATGGACCTTAAACTCTTCTGGCTTCAGTCTTAGATTGGGCAAGGGAGAGAGGTGAATCCATCTCAAAAACATCCACTAACCTTTATAAGCAGTGGAAAGAAGAAACCAGCTGTCCAGTGCCCCTGGGTCACGGGAAGGGAAGCCCAGAGGAGGAGCTTAGAGTTTGCTTCAGGGGAGATTACAGGGACGGGGTGAGGGAAGTATCCTTAGTTATGTGTGCCCCAGGCAGGGATGAGTAGAGTACCAGCAAACTTACCTTGCTCTAGCTTTAGAAGAAAAATCTATTGTTTCAATGTTTTCAGTCTTACACATAAAACCGGGGAAAAGGTTTCATCTATTTAAATAGCTGGATATAAATCAGAGAACTTTACAAAGGTATGCGTAAAGTACAGCAATTATTTAAGCACATTTTTGAGACTGTCTTCATAGACAGAAAAGGTATTCAGGTTTGGAAAAGAAAATGAACATTGGCGAATGGGTCACAAACTCATCTATTTACCGTCATACTGCAGAAATCCGTTTGTATCTGTCTCTATCTCGGACTGTGGCTGGAAAAAAGAACAAAGCACCCATCAAAACTGTGCACTGCAGAAATAACACAATTACAGAATGAAGAGGGCAAGAAACTTACTAAATGCTCTGCAGGAGGAGGAGACAAAATCAGAGCCGCGCCAATAAGTAATGCCATCTAGTGGATAAGGGACGTTACTGCACGGAACCGATCTTCAAAAACTATTACTCAGCAAAGGCTTTTTGGATGTAATTTCTTTTTTCTTTTTTAAAAAATGTAATTTCATTAACTTTGCTACTAGAACTTTGTTGTATTAAGTGAATTATCGAAGAAGTTTTTATAGATACCTTAAAGAAATCATCCTGAGATATGACACTGCAGTTTGGGAGGTGTTCCTGCAACTTCTTAGCCAGTGTTGTCTTCCCGCCATTTGTCACCCTGAACAGAAAAAGGAAAAGAAAAAAAAATTGAATATACCAGGAAGGAAGATGCATTTAATATAAAACGTTTATTTTTTTATTTTTTAAAAGTTTTTTATTTGTCAGAGAGAGAGCACACACACATACACGCACATGCACACACAAGCAGGGGGAGCCCTAGGCCAGAGGGAGAAGCGGGCTCCCCGTGGAGCAAGGAGCCTAATGTGGGGCTCAATCCCAGGACCCAGGGATCATGACCAGAGCTGAAGGCAGACCCTTAACAGACTGATCCACCCAGGCGTCCCTAAAACATTTTAAAGTGATCCACAAAAAGGGTATTTAAAACAATATGTAATACCTAAGAAGAAATTATTTCTTTCATAGATGTGTTGGTAACAGCATAAGCCTGAGTAGATCTACTGTGGTAAATGAGGACAAATAAACTGGAAAGGATGGAGGAGAAAGGTCACTAAGTACCGGGCAAGTAGACTGGGTGATACTAAGACTTAAAATTACAGCTACCGGGTGGGAAGCAAAAGAATGTTCCATCTATACTGAGCGATTCCCAGGGCTCATGAGCAACACTGAGAATATGAGTAGCATGTTTTAGTGCAAGTCTGTCCACGCTCGTGGTCACTGTGATTTTGTTTCAGTGCACCATGGAGCAAAAGGGAGGACGGGCTTATGACAAGCCAAACAGCATGTATTCCCATCTCCACTGTGGGGCTCCCTTCCTCCTTATGGAGTCAGTTACTTATCCCTCCTGGCTGGACTGTGACAGTGGGGAGAAGGGGGATCTTGGCTAACTCCCCTGTGTATCTAGTTTTCCAGAACCACACATGGCACCCGAGAGGGGGTTCTGCAGTCAGTCGCTCAGTCAGAGGTTTTTTTTTTAACCCGAGGCTGCTGCCTCAAAGGGTCTGTGGACCCATCTGTGGACTTTGTGAACTTGAATGGGAAAGAAATTACATCTTGATGTATATTACATTCTAACAGAATTTTAGCTTTCCCTTTAATTATAAGTAACAAATATCAGTAGTAGTAACAGTACCTGTGGCTCTATCACCACTAGAAATCATAGGTATTTTCATATCCTGGGGCAGGGGTGCAGAGATCTTGAAGTATTATTGATATTCACTATTATTTCAAATTGATGGCGGTTTTTAGACCCACCCCACACTGTTATTTCATAAGCTAATCATGTACATATCACAGCAACAATTTGTTTTTTTAAAATATTTTTATAACTGTATTTCAGCACAACTGGTTTCTTTTGTATTTCTGTATTTTATTTTGTACATTTAAAACCATTACTCTAAATCAAGATTTCATCGTGCCACCGAATGTTGGCGGCACAAAAAAACCTCTTAACTGCTCATTTATATGCAGGAACCTGTGCTTAATCCCAGATGACAGACTGCAATGTATTCATAATCCAGAAAAGAAATATTCATTCATCAAAACTGTTTACTGGCTTTAATTCAATTATTACCTAAATACCTCATACGTCCAAAGAACTTGAGTCAAAGCTTTTTTTCATTAATTTTTTAAAAAGATTTTCTTTATTTATTTGAGAGAGAGAGAAAGTGAGCCCAAGGTGGGGGAGAAGGGGAAGGGGCAGAGGGCAGAGGGAGAGGGCAGAGCCTTCAATCCCAGGACCCTGAGATCATGACCCGAGCTGAAGGTAGCCACTTAACTGACTGAGCCACCCAGGCGCCTTGTAAAGTTATTTCACTTAAACTAAGAACACACAATTGGATAGGATACGGGCCATCTCCTTGAAAAGACAGAAGTGCCTGGGTGACTCAAGTCAGTTTAGTGTCTGACTCTTGATTTTGGCTCAAGTCCTGATCTCAGGGTCCTGGGATCCAGCAGGCTTGTCAGCTCAGTGGGGAGTCTGCTTCCTCCTTCTCCCTCTCCTTTTGCCCCTCCCCCTGCTCAAGCTCTCTCTCTCTTCCCCTGCCCCCTCAAACAAATAAATCAAAAAAAAAATTTTTTTTTAAAGAAAAGACAGGGAAGTGGTGGGTATTACCCTTTGCCTTGAGAAAATATTGGTACAAAATTTCTCCCTTTTAACAAAAATGTCTGTAATTCATACTACGTTTCCATAGTTCAGATATTGAACGTTGGTTTAAAAGGGAGAGTATGGAGTGCCTGGGTGGCTCAGTGGGTTAAGCCTCTGCCTTTGGCCAGTGTCATGATCTCAGGGTCCTGGGATTGAGCCCTGCATCGGGCCCTCTGTTAGCAGGGAGCCTACTTTCCCTTCTCGTTCTGCCTGCCTCTCTGCCTACTTGTGATCTCTGTCTGTCAAATAAATAATTTTTAAAAATCTTAAAAAAAAATAAAATAAGAGAGAGTAAACAGGGCTAACTTTTTTGAACAACCTGGCCAGAAAATGTGTCATTTTCTAGACTTATCTCTGTCAGATGATATAGTCAAACCAACTGTACTTAGATCTCTTCTCACTGACTTAGCTGGAGACAATGAGAAGCAAGCACTCCAGTGTCACAGACTTGGAGGAGACAGACCAGACAGAAGGTAGTACAGGCCAGGGAGAAGAGAGGGGTTTAATGAGAATTTAACAAGTCAGAATGGCGCAAGTTCAAGCCTATGATCTATACTTGGAATTCTGGTCAGGTGACACCTTAAAACTAACTCTTCCCTTACAGCATAAATGCACAAGTCCTGTCCATTTGTTTTTTTATGTGCCAAGAGACAGGAAGGGTGAATGTTTTCGGAACATGACAGGGGAAGTTAAAAAGGCTGTCTGCAGGTACTTTAGAGGCAAATCCATTCTGTAGCAGGTAGGTATTAATATTACCATTTTACAGTTGAGGAAACTAAGGACTGAAAGACTATATACTCATAAAACTTGCCAAAGGTAACAGCTAGCAAGTAATGAGGATGGGATATAAAGTCTAACTCCAAAGCCCATGGATCTTTTTTTTTTCCCCCAAAGCCCATGAAACTTATATATTCTAACATCACAGAATTCTGTGAGCTTCTGATGAAGATTATATGCCCCTCCCCAGAAAAATGAACATCTTCACACATGCATTCCATTTTCGGGAGGATCTTGAATGATCTTGGAATCCTTTGGAATCCCTGTTGTTCCCTGATGTCTTAACTGAATGACCCCTCCGCAGTGTAGCAAGTGGTAAGTACACAAGGAGTCTGGACTCCACAGAGTCTGGACGAAGGAATAATGGCAGGAGCAGAGGTCACTGCGGCTGAGTGTGGTAGGTGCTTCTGTGAAGCCCTGAAAGGAAATCCTGGCCCTTGCTGAGGAAAAGATAGTGAAGGGGAGGCTTTCTTAGGGAAGTGTGGTTAGCACCTAATGCATGGGGCAAAAAAGCACAAGGCAGGTTTCTACACCTGGAACATGGAGGAGAAGGGAATGTTCCTCCTACACATGCAGAATGAAAGTTGGTTTGGATGCCAGAGTTGACCTGGTAGCTGTCTCCCCAGATTCTACCCTGGTTTCTGAGGTCTGTTTTGGGCTCCAGAGCAGGGCCAAGAACCTCTACTAACCCCTTGTGCCCCAAAAGTGCAGCCAACTCTAGGAAGACACAAAGAAGAGACGAAAAATCATGGAGTCTTTGGTGATACCACTGAGCTCCTGGATCAAACCTTCCCTACAGCCTCCACGCCACCGAAGCTAATACATTTCTTTTACTATGTACGGATGGTCTTCACACACACGGATATTCAGATTTTGTTCTAGATAACTGATAACCACTGTATATTGTTCACGAGGTGAGAGAATACTTAAACATTTCTGTAAGAAGATTCAACTGGTGGAGAGGTACCTAGGAAAGGATAAGAGGGGGGAGGCTGGAATTAGGGAACGAGGGCTTGATTTACAATGGTGGCAGTGAGCGCAGAAGGGAAACCCTGTCCAAGAAAAGCAAGGCAGAGAAAAACAGAACTCTGGTTTTGGTTAGGTGGGAGAAAACGAGGCAGAGTTCTGACACTGGATTCATTCCCTTTTACCTCTGATTACTTGCTGTAGTAACATAATACAACAATACAGTGATTGCCCCCAAATCACAAACGTTTAATTTTAGCACTCTCAAGTATTTCATTCATTGGACCATACCTAGTAGGAAGGTACTCAGAAGAAAGATGTACACAAAAATGCAGCCAAACAAACAAAGTCCTTTGGAGCTGTTGTTGGTGTCTTATTTGCATGCATACCTCTGGTACCATGGGGAGGGTGACCTATAATTTAGGACACTTTTGAGAGGGAGGGGCACACAACTAATAATTATGCCAGGGCAATCAGGACATCAGGATAATAAGGATAAAACATGTCTGGTGTCAACCCCTGAAAAGAAATGGTAAGGCAGGCAGATTTTGCGTACTGACGGCCCTGTGTCTCTGTTTAGGGGAGACTCTCTCATCTCCTGTTGCCATTTCTGTAGCCAGCGGTCCCCCGTTTGATATCCAGTGGCCTGCTCTCTTCCTGAGGACTCAGAAATCCTGACCCTCCATTCCCTACAACACCCCTGGGACATCCGCAGTATCTCCACCAGCTGTTTGTAGCAAAATTACTCACCCACTGATTCCAATGACAAATGTTTTCATAATTAGCTTTGAAAATCACGTCTTCCTAAAATTAAAGACAAAACAAAAGAAAACAAGTCGAATGCTTATCAGTGAGATGTCGAAAGAAAGAAAGAAAGAAAGAAAGAAAGAAAGAAAGAAACCTACATTAAGAGAGCCAGCTTAGGGGGAAAGTTGACCATGATCTCTGGGGAACCCCTGGTCCTGGATTAGCCACAGTCCGTAGAAGAGCTTTACAAAGTACCAGCTTCCTTCTGCTAGACGCTCTCCCCGCTAGACGCCACAGCTAAATCCAACAGAGGGTCTGTGCTCAGTAGGCCACACCACAGTGTCTCAGAACTCTGCAACTCAAGAGTTTCAAGATTCAATCACCTGGGGATGACCCATTTATTTCCCCAATGCCAGGGAACACCACAGAGCTTGCCTCTCTCCTCTTCTGAAATGGGGAAAACATCACTGCTGGCTGGAGCCAAAAGGCAGTTAATTCTCTTTAAGGGAGCAATTTCCTCATTCAGAAACCTAAGTCCAGGGCCAGTGCAGGCAAACTCTTTCCAAAAGGGCCAGGTAGTAAAATATTTGAGGTTTTGTGGGCCCAGAGGCAAACTGAAAGTTACTACGGAGGTACTTATGTAATGAGAGAGAAAACAAATTTCCACAATGTTTTTGACGAAAGTCAAAACGTAACCATTGAGTACAATTTTGTTGGTGGTTGTTGTAATACGCGTGTATGTATTATGAGAAGGATGGAATTCCTTTCTTATTGGGATAGTATTTCTCTTACTGGATTTCAGAGTTAGTGTTCTCAAATCAGACACGTGACTGCAAATGTTCAGGCTGAGGGCCAGATTTTAGGCACAGGCCATTGTTTGTTGACCTCTGGCTCCGGGGAGGTGGGAGGTTGAGGGCAGTTTCACACAGGGCCCCCTGAGATCCAGTCAAGCAGTCCTAGGGATATTCTAATGAACCATTTTCACCTCTTTCTGCGAAAAGCTGGGGCTCAGCTGGAGGGAACCTCAGATCAGAGGTTCCTGAGGGTTGCCTGACCGAAGGCTGCTCTTTATTCCAGACTGCTCCGGTTGGGTGATCAGGGACCTAAGCTGGGCCTCCTGGGTGAGGTGAGTGGCTGAAGGCTGCTCTTTATTCCAGACTGCTCCGGTTGGGTGATCAGGGACCTAAGCTGGGCCTCCTGGGTGAGGTGAGTGGCTCCTGGGCTGGAGACCCCCAGCGACCCTCCCGGTTCCTATCCCTGACCTGTGTCCTAGCGAGTTAATTTCTTTCTTCTTTCCAGCCTGTTAAAAAGCACTTTATTGCCAAGAGCAAAGAAAGGATGCTGCACATAGGCTGGCTTAATTGTGAGGCTCTCATGTATAATGGACGCCATTTTTATTGGTGTATTATTAATGGTTGAGCACACTGAATGGCAAGGACTAAGGGTCCCCCTGCTTCGTGCCACATCTGTGCACACATGGGAGGATACCGAATCAGTTACATAGCATGCAAATAACGAATGTGGCTGTGGCACTGGAAAGATCCTTGAGGGGGGGGTTATTTGGGTGGAAGCTAGCAATTCTGAAATGAAGACTGAAGGAGAGTCAAGAACCTACTTATAAAATTGTTTGGGTTCAGGAGGGAATACCTACCATCAAAGGCAAGTTTTTAACCGAAACAGGAACCCTCGGTCCTATATCAGTTAGCTAACAGAGCTATTACCCAAGACAGGGTTTGGGTAAACGCTGGGCTCAGTCTATTAGCCCTAAAGGGGTGACAATTGTGGGGGAAGGGGTGGGGAACTGGGAGAAGCCGAAGCAGGGCAGGTGCTGGGGTGAGGGCAGGCCTAGCAATCCCAGAAGTCATTCATTTCAAAAACCTTGCCGGATGCACAGGGCAGCACCACGTGAACTCCAAATTCAGGACTGGAATCCTCTCCCTCCATACTACTTGGTGCTATGACACCCCCTGTTTTCCTCTTAGGAGACTATTTCAAAATCACACTTACTGAAAAACTTGCAACCAGGAGCTGTCAGATTCCAAATACATGCAACAGACTCCATGAGGCAAAGACAAGCCTCATCAACTACACTCAATCACTGGGCGTCTCAGAGACAACCATCTGAATTTTGCAGTCTCATCAACCTGGGGCATCTGATTACTTGAAATATAGACTCCCCCCACAATCTCGTGTGGGGGGGTTATGTACCTTATATGTTATGTACCTTATCCTCCCCATAAGTGCCAAGTTTTCCTCCACAGCAGAGTTATTTGCATAGAGGCAGGAGAACAAGTGAAGATCGCTGGGGGGCAAACCCCAAAAGGAATATTTTAATTTTTTTTTAACCCTAAGTAAGAGAGGTTGTCGAGTCCTTTGTTTCGTTACTAGTATGTGCTTATTATGCGGATTCCTCTAATAAGCAAGGTACGTTTTGGACTTTAAAACGGTCAGGGGTGGTGTGTGCGAAGTCAGCAGATGAGAAGGAAGCCAGCAGCCCTCTAACACAAATGGAATGACAACATACTAACGAATTGTTGTGCTTGTCCCTGACTCCCCAGAGCAGCCTGGTATTTTTAAACCAGTGAAATGTTTCGGGACTTCTCACTCACTTGCTTTATTTTGATTATCTTCTTCCACCCACCAAGCAAGTCTTTTCCTACTATTGTTTCAATTTTGCTCCCTTTCAGTAAACAGAAATCTCCCACGGTTAGAATTTCTGAATCCCTCAACCCATGCCTCTTCGCCGTGGAATCACTTTTATCTCTCACTGACCCCTAACAAAAACTTGCAGGCTTCATTTTAGGTAGACTCTCACGCCAAGGTTTTTCCATTTGTCTTCCCTCAGACATGCAATGGGTCCGGAACACCCAGCTATCTCGAACTGAAGGCGCGCTGCGTTCCTGGCTCGCTCCCTCGCCTCCCCTTGGGGGACCAATCTGCTGGGTCAGGGGTCGGCAGACCTCGTTTGAGTCAACGTTTTAGGCTTCGAGGGCAGCGTGTTGGGAAGAGGAAAGCGGCCATTAGCAAATAAGCGTGGCCGTGCTCTCGCAAAACTTTATGGACACCGAAATTTGAATTTCTTATCACTCCCACGTGCCACAAAAATCTTCTGATAGCTCTGCAACCCTCTGAAATGGTAAAGCCATCCTCAGTTGGCAGGCCGTTCGGTTAACAGGTGGCAGGCGGGTCGTACTCGGTGCACCCTCATACTGGTGGAATAAACGCCTGCCTCATCCCGTAGGGATCAAGACCTGACCCGGAGCCCTGGCGACTTCTCTCTACAACCCCTACCGTCTCTTAGAGGTAGCCTCCCATTTTCAGGATCGGTACGGGGCGTTACAAGCACACACACTCTCTGGCAGGCCATCCATCAGCTCGCTCAGAGCAGTGAGAGTCCCCCCAAGGCTTGCAAGACGCAACCCGGTTCAGGCTCCAGCGCAGCCGCACGTCGCGAGCACCTCCAGGCCTCGGCGAGGCTGCGCCACGCGGCCGGGTCGCGCAGGTACTCACCGGGCGCCAGTTCGACCCCTCCCCAGCAAAGCGGCAGAAGCGCGGGCCGAACCTGCGCCTCTCGCCGACCCGCCGCGACCCCCGAAGCTCGCTAGCCTAGGGGCCCATAGCCCCCCCACTCCGCGCCCCTACAGGGTCAGAGGCGGCCTCGGTAGAAGACGCCAACCTAGGGATCCCTCCGACTCCGGCCGGACGCCGTTCGGGTTCCAGCGTCCGAAGCGGGGCGGGGCGAGGCGAGGCGGGGCGCGACTCCGGCGACCGTGGCCCCACGGGCGCGCCCCCGCAGAGTCCGGCCCTTTCTCGTCGGGGGCGCGCGCGGCCGGGCCTGCCCCGGCTCCGGCTGGTTCCGCCGGCGCCATCGCCGCCGCGCGCGCTCCCGTGCGCGCCGCGCGCGCTCCCGCCGCGCCGAAGCTGCCAGCCCGAGAGCCAATTAGCACTCGGCGAGACGGCGGCCACTTCCTTGTCGCGGGGGCGCGCGCTCGGGAGGCTCGGGCGGCGGCGCGGCGGGGCGGGGCATCGCGCGGAGCGGCTCTGCCTGCGTCCGCTCGTCTGACGGCCAAGGGTGGGCGCAGATCCCTGAAGGCGCTCGGCTGCGAATCCGACAAAAAAAACTTTGGGGTCCCCAGAGTACCGGCTGGCGGGGCGTTCGGCCGGCTTTTCGTGCTTGGTCTTGAGGCTCAGCCGCTCCAGGAAGCGCGATGTCGAAGCCGCCACCCAAACCGGTCAAACCAGGTAAGGGAGGCGCTCGCCGGGTCCCCTGGCCGCGGTGGTGCCCTGCGCTTCCTCTGCCACTTGGCAGGGCAGACCGCGCACGTACCCGGCCTGCAGCCTCGCTCTCGGGAACCGACCCGCCAGGATGGGTCGCTTTGTTGCGTTCGCTGCAGGGAGGGATCGTTTTGGATAGCAAGAGGATTTCGAGGATTTTTTTTTTTTTAATTTTATGTTTAAAGGGGAGTCGCCCTCGATATTGCAATATTGTCATTCGCTGCAACTTTCTAGTGGGTGGGATGGTTACGTCCCGTTGAAGCTTGACTGGAAGACGGGGATATTGATTCCCCTAAGGGGGAAAATTATATATATGCTTTGAAATGGTCTTTTGGCCACTTCCTCTTTTTTTTTTTTTTTTTTTTCGTGTGTGTGCGGTGTCAAGTTAGAGTTCTTGACCGGCCGGAGCGAACGGGAAGTGCGCTGTTTGCAGGGTGGGGTGGGGGAGCGAGTCTCCTTTGGGACTTTTGAGAGGAGCCGCGGATGAAATTGCCCTCGGGATCTTGGGAAAAGCATTTGGAAAACTCTGTGCGCGAGCTCTCGCGGCGAGAAAAATGTAGGCTGCGGCAGAGTAATCTCGGCTGTTGCCCTGTTGCCCTTGATCGTGCAGTCCAAGTCCTTTGCCTCCGCTTCCCCCCAGTGAGTTTGCCCTGCGAAACTGGAGAGGGTGAGGTGACCAGTTCCTTCAAAGCGCCGGTCGTGGCCGATAGTCTGTGCATTTTTTATTCTCTTCTTAGCATGTTTTCTGTGATAGGGAGACTCGAGAGTGACGTATTTCAATTCAATACTGTAACAAACTCGTGCATTCATTTGGTGAGTAATTACGGGAAACGTAGGATGTGGAAGATAAATGGCTTTGATGCACTTTGGGGCGTTTCCTTAGAATCTTCCCCTAATTTAAGTATAGCACGAGCTGAAATGTATCCACTTAACATCAAACTTCGAAGTAACCTTGGTTGCGGGCACTACACCTTTCATGATTTTCTAGTTTTCTTTCTTTATCATCACACAGTGGCGGTTTCAAGTCATTTCATATGAAAATTAAGTACATACTCCTATACTTGACAGTCATTCACTGGGGACTGAAATTTTTTTGTTGAGCTGGGTGTGAAGGAAGTTGCCGGGACTTTGGCTTTGCGGTGAGCAGAGATGGGGTGTGGCTAGTATTGGGCTCCCTGCTTTTTTATAAGTGGAATCTGATGAGGGGTTTGCTTTTTAAGTGCATGTGTAGGATGTGGCAGCTTTCTCAATTTGGATGTAAATCAGGACCTCAAGCACCCAACAAAGCAGAGTTGTTCTTTGCTGGCTAAACAAAGTACTTTATTTTAAAGAATGTCCGGAGAAGTTAGCTGTTCAAGAGGTTTTTCATCTCCAGACTTTAAGTGATATCACTGCTGCGGCTGGAGGGCCACTGACTGTGGTGTGCAAGCGTGTCCATGACTTGTGCGTACACTGGTTTGGTTGAAGGATCATACTGTTACCAGTTAGGGATACACACCCAGGAAACATTTTCGCGGTTGGACCCCGCTGCTTTCTCCTTCTCTTCAGCAAATCAGAAGGCAAAGGGTTGAAAATGTCTCCTGTTTTAGAGATGGCTTTGACCCCATACGGATTCATAAATGAGATCCATACTCAAGGTCACCATAGAAATCGGTTTGTTAGTTTACGAATTTACAATGAGAAATATTACTTTCAGTCCGACTCGAAACACTGGGTGGCCTGGCTTAATTGGAAACAAAACTGTCCTATTATAGTACTGGTCTACATTTACTGTGTGCCCGGCACTGATGTAATCACTTTACATATATTAACTCATTTGCTCCTCACCACAACCCTGTGAGGTCAGGACCATTATTGTTTCCATTGCACAGGTTGGGAAATTAAGGCACAGCACAGAAAGGTTAAGTCACTTGCCCAGAGTCAGCGGCCCAGTGGGGAGGAACAGGCAGGGTTAGTAAGCACTCAAGTAGTCTGATTTAAGAATCTGCATTCCTGGGGCTCCATGGTGGCTCAGTCGATAAGCATCTGCCTTTGGTTCAGGTGATGATCCCAGCGTCCTAAGATCTAGCCCCACACAGGCACCCGGTTCTGCCAGAAGCCTCCTTCTCCCTCTCCCACTCCCCACGCTTGTGTTCTCTCTCTCTCACTGTCTTCTCTGTTAAATAAATAAACAAAATCTTAAAAAAAAAAAAAAAAGAATCTGCCTTCCTAGTCATAATGCTCTTCTGCCTTATATCACCATTCCTGCGTGAGGTCTTATGTAGTTTAGAACTAGTGAGTGGAAGTGGAAAGGAAAATGCCTCTCGTCCTCAGTCAGATCTTGTGGTCACAGATGCACAGAAAAGGTTGGTAGCCGTGAGGAGAGTGAGCTTTACTTTCTTGTCCTGCAGGCAAGATGCATGGGTGAAAAGTGTCTAAAGCTGCTTGGAATTGGGAGTAGAGGGTTGTATTAAATTTTTGATTTCCTGGTTTGTTTATACTGAGCCTCATCCCAGATGAGAGTTAAGAAAGAAGGAAAGAAAAAAAAAGAAAAGGGCCATATAGAGGGAAGAATAAAAGGGAACCAGAGAAAAGGTTAACTTACAGACGTGTGTCCTAAGGTCTGCCAAGGTTTCTGAAGAGTGACTATAGATTTGGCTCTTGGCTTCCTGCATAAAGGTAAAAAAATCAATTATAAGATTCCTACTCTTTGTAACGATAAAATGTGTTACTTTCTCAGAGAAGAGATATGTTGTTGGTACTGAGATCCATAAAACTTCCCATGGGGCCTCTCAAAGTGTTGGAGTCGACTGCACATCTCTGTAAGAAACACAAGCGTGACATCCTGGTGGTGGTCCCTCTAGCTTCCTGCAGGGCAAGACCCGGGCAAAACAGCATGGTTCAATTCCATAGGCTGTGTTGAAGGGAGGGGAGCTGGGGGAGGGAGGACAAAGGACTTAATGGAAGATTTCAGTAGCAAGGGACATTAAACTATGATGAAGAGTAGTGTATCTATTGGGATGATTGGCATATATCCCATAAAGAGACTGTTTTCTTTTGTACCTTCCTAAGGTTATACCAGACTTTGGGTTTGTAGCCACATCCAAAATTCATTTGCTAAACATTTCTTGATATATGCAGCTAATGTTTTGGGCCTTGTGCTAGACATTGGGGTTCCTGGGAGCAATAAAATAAGGTCTCGTCCATGAAAATATCGAGTCTGATGGAGATTTAGGTATCTATAGATAATAATTTAAGTTGACCCCTATCCGTAATTGGATGGCTGATCTTTTACCCGTTTTGTTAGGAAAAAATCTCGTCATTAAAAATAAAAGTAATATTTTTTTCTTCTTTCTTCTTTTCTTCAAACCTTGTAATATATTTTTTTACGGGAAAGTTAGAAAATACATATAGAAAAATGTATGAATATATAAATATTATCCCTACCTATCTAGTGATAATCACTGCTTTCTCTCAGGTGTTATTTTTCTTCGTCAAATTTTCATTAAAAAAAGAAAATATAAACAATTATTTTCAGAATGGAGTCTCAGTTTCAATTTTCAAGTGTTTTACTGTTGATTGGCTTGTTTCCTGTAGTGGGTATACTGTTGCCGAAGCTCTGCTTGAAAAATCAATTTTCATGTTTTTGACCTTTCCTTGCCTACTGATGTCTTTATTTTTTTTTTTTTTTTTAGATTTTATTCATTTATTTGAGAGAGAGAGAGAGAGAGAGTGCAAGAGAGCGAGAGAGTGAGAGAGTGAGAGAGCGTGAGCGGGGAAGAGGGAGAAGTAACCACCCCATCGAGCAGGGAGCCTGATGTGGGGCTCCATCCCAGGACCCTGGACCATGACCCAAGCCTAAGGCAGATGCTTAACCTACTGAGTCACCCAGGCGCCCCTCCTACTGAGGTCTTTCTGTAGGGTCACTTTTGGCCACTCAAGGTCTGTCATTGAAACTCTCACCTCTCATTGTTAGATGTGCCACCAAGGTGCTCTCAGCCTGCTAAAAAGTGTCATGTTTCATGGTCTTCAGCTCATTCTTCATGGGACCCTCCTCCTTCTTCGGGACCAATATGGCCTCTCAGGTTTATATATCAAGCACTTTGGTTCTTGTCGGCCACCCTCCCAAGCCTTGCAGTTCAATTAGGGTGAACCCACAGGGCATGGTAGAGTGTAGATGGCACCTTGTGTTCTCACAAAAACTCTTCTTTTTGAAAGAGACTTTATTCTGAGACTGTATCCTATAAAAATGGCCAAAGGATATTGAGTGAGATTTGGACTAGAATCATCTCGTTCTAAGTCAGTTTGATAACCCTCCACTGTAGTTGGAAGCCAGAGGTCTGACCTTGACCAGTTCTTTCAAATGGCTTATTGATTTTGGTGGTGGAAGTAAAGCAGCATAAATATTTTATGTGTCTTAGGAAAATAAATTCATGGGACTTTGAAGAAGCAAATGCCAGTATTTGGGGTTCTTTTGTATTTATAGTAAAAACATCGTAAACTTCAAAGATGTCACCCATATGCTGCTTATATAACATTTTTGAGAGGAAAAAAAGACTTCCTCTAAAATGATCTGAGCTTTTGTGTATTTTTTTCCGCTCTGAAAAAATGAATTAGTCAAAGGCGAGAATATGGGATTGGCTGGAAATATACATATGGGTAGTGTCCTTCTTAAACTTCATGCTCCACGGATGCCTGGTGGCATCAAAGTTCAGGAAGCATTTTGGAAATTCCAGAATGATGGTGATGATTATAATTGTAATACTTAACATTTATTTGGCCCTGAGTGTCAGGTACTGTGCAAAGTGCTTGATATGCTCCATCTCATTTAATTATTCTAACTTCCCTATGAGGTGGGTCCTAATATCCCCATTTTTATGGGTGAAGTAGGACTTAGTGAGGTTAAGTAAACCACTTAAGGTCTCAGAGCTAGGAAGTGGTTGGTTTGACCTGGGAATGGAACACAAACTTTAAGTGGAAGCTGTGCT